GTGTCCGTCCATCAGCCGGCCGGTCGGTGTGCCGGCCCGGCCCCCCCGCGGGCCGTGCTGGCGGGGGCGGCGCTGACATCACGTCGTTAGCATAGGGCGGCCCGTGGCGGCGGCGATGGCCGAGCGGGGCTGCCCGCCCGCCGCCGCCATGAGGCGGCCCTAGAGCCGGCCGGGGATGAAGCGGGACTCGACCTGCATGGAAGGTGAGCGGGGCCGGGCCTTTGTCCGGGCGGTGCCGCGGAGGCTGTGCGGGCCCGGGGCCGCCTCCCCCCGGTGCTCCCGGGCCGGGGCCGCCCCGTCCCGGCGCCCGCGGCCGGCGGGGCTCGGAGCGGGGCGTGCGGGGCCGGGACCGTCCGGACCCGCGGGGGAGAAGGAGCCGAGCGGGCTGTCCCCTTTCGCTGCCTTTTTCCCGACTCCCGGGGCCGGGCAGAGCAGCCCCGGGCTGCGAACGGGATTATGCAATTAAAAAAAAAAAAAAAAGAGGGAGGGAAGGGCATTAGTTTGTTTTGTGGCTTAATTTGTTTATATTTTAAACTTCCTAATCCCTCCGACCATCTGGAGGAGCTTTTTTTAGTATCGTTAATTATTGATAGTATCGGGGTCACGGAGGCGCTCGATAGCGCCCGCCCGGCTCTCCCGGGACCGCCGCTGCTCCCCGCTATTTGCAGCCTTTTTTTACACCCTGGTACTGAAAACAGCCGCAAAAGCTCCTCTTCAGAGTGAGGATGAAATATTTCAGGAGAGAACACGGTGTGTTTGGCAGCACACGTTGGAGAAGTCACTATCTCAGTTGTGCCCAGGCCCTGCTCCCTCAGCCCGGACTGCTGGGGATGGGTTTAGGCTCAGATTTTCTTAATTCTGCATCGCTCTCAGTGGTTGCACATCTAGACAGCTTCATTAGGGCCAAGAGGATTGGTTTTAGGCAGGTAAGTCAGTTCTTCATCTTACTGCTTTATAATGTATCAGTTTAAAAATTAATGGTCTAATTCAGACGTGAATTCGGATTTGCAGCCGCGCCGGAGCCAGGGCAGGGACCCTGCACGGAGCTTTATTTTTCTTAAATTGGATTAGCGAAAGTTGATCACTCGGGAGAGCGGCCGCAAGCCGGGAGCGGGTGTGTGAGCGGGGGCAGCGCGACCGGGACCCTCGTGCCTGTCCCCGCTGCCGTCCCGGCCATCGGGCTCCTTCTGCTGCGCTGGCTTTTGTTCCAAACTCTTTGTGCAACAACTGGCCGGAGTGAGGGGTCCATCCTGTCCCCATCCCGCCCAGCGGAGCGGGGTGAGGGTCCCGCAGCGCCCCGTGTCCCCCGGCAGCTCCCAGCCAGGCCGGCCCCGTGGGGCGCGGGGTGGGTGTCGGGGTGAGGGAGCGCGGCCGGGGCTCCCCTGCCCGGCAGAAGTTGCATTTCACAGATGAGGTTTTGATATGCAAATGGAGATGGGTCCCAGGCCGGGGAAGGGTGATGGGTTTCATCGGCTGCCCGCTCCTGATTTATACCGACCCGAAAACGAGCAGCTGATGATTTCTGGGTTTTTATGAAGGTTTATTTTTGACTGAACTTTTCTTGGGCAGAAACACAGGAGGGAGTAAGACTGAGTTTGGGATTTCATTACTGGAAAGCAAGAGCAGAGTGAGATGCACTGGCCGTTCCTCTCGTGGAGCATTTCTCCTCTTTTCTTTTCAGTACTCGCTGCTTTTTAAAATGCGACTCTCTGTGAGAAGAACGTACTTTTACAGTACAGAGAATAAGGTTGCAGGCCGCCTCTTTCTTTCTCTCCTTTTTTTTTTTTTTTTTTACAAGAGGCTTGTCCATTTAAATTAACCTTTCTCCCAGTTGGGCACACAAATGTTTTTGTTTTAGTTCACAGAGGGTTAATTCTATTCAGCTCTCACCAAGGCTGGCCTGATCCGGGGCAGCACAATCTGCTCTTTGAGCCAGGCTGGCCAGGCAGGACACGGGTGCCTTCTCCCGCCTGCAGCGTGGGGCAGGGACCCCCGTGTGCGGGGTCGATGGGGAGCACGAGTGGGACACCCCGACCCATTGTGTGCCGGGCCACGAGCTCTGCTGCCAGGCTCGCTGCTGTCCCGAGCAGGGGCCGGCACACAGAAAATTTAATCCCAGTGTTCATCGATTTTAAGTTTAAAAAAAAAAAGGCCCCTGAAGCAAAGGCGCCTGGTTTGGGGGTGGGCTTGTTTGGACAATGCAACGCTCCGCAACGAGGGGGGAGTTTCTCCACTTGGGGCTTGATTTTCACAGGATGGTTTTCTTGAAATAAAAATTGACAACAGAAAAATTCGTCAGGAAAAATAAGAGGAGAAAGAAACCTCAACACATCTGTTTGTGTTTGAGGCATCATCAGAGGCGAGAGGGGAGCAAGATGCTGTTGGGATTTAAGTAACACATGTGTGAGATCTCCCCCTCTGCCCTCCCTCCCCAAACAGCTGGTATTTAGCAGCTTGAGATTCAAACCCAGCTAAAGGGTGCTGCAGGGGGGTGTGATAGGGTCAGTTAATCAAGAAGTAACTAACTGGTACACAGTTGAAAAGATGTTAAATATATTAATGAACAGCAGTGCTGAGTGTTGCCTGGAATCTTTTTTTTCAGTGACAAAAGATTTTCTTAGCTGTAAATCACGATCAGTTGTATAAATGGGATGTTCTGCCAGCAGCAGCTTGGCCTCCTCTTGCCTTCCAGCCAGACCAAATCCCAGCACCGTCTGTCCTGGGGTTTGGATGAGGGACTGTGCCTTCACTTTTGGCCTCGCTCTGGGAAATAAAGTCTTTGTTTCTCCTCCATCATAAAGCACCGAGATGGAGACTCTCACGAGCCAGCTGCACCAACACGCTGCCTGATTTCCAAGGTAAATCTTGCAGGGAGGTGTAGTTGCTGCAGAGTTTTAAACTGGGTCTCCAGGGGTGGGTGTGATCCCCTCGCAGCCTGGGGAACTGCTGGGATGCAGCCACAGCTGCTCCCCTCCTGGAATGCGAGCACTGAAGGTGCTTCCCGGTCACCTGCTCGGGGTGTTTGCCCGCAGGAGTGACACAGGTGGGAGTGGTGACACAGGCTTGCTGGGATCTGAGGGTGTGTCCCCATACTTGAATTTATTTGCTGTGTATTTTACAATCTCATTCGTGTGCCCTGGTGCTTTCTCTGTGTGTCTTTGCCGTGTGTTTCAGCAGGATTCGAAGGTATTTCCTTTTGGAAATGCATAGCAATTTTCTTTCAAGAATTATCAAGGCTGTTCATTTTGCTGAGGGGAAAAGCAAGTCTTTTGAAAAATAAATGTATTGCTTCTACCGTTTGCTTTATTAAATATAGAAAAGGGGAGATTCCTTTTCTTTCTTGTTCCATCTTCTGTGACTCTCGTGTAACATCATCATATTCTTGGAGAATTTACATTGTATGTGGTATGAAACCCACCATGACCTCTGAAAACAATACATCCTTTAATGTGGCTTCGGGGAGGGGCTAGCGAGGGAGTAGCCATAAAAATCTTCAGGGTTCAAGATGAGGTTGAGATTTTTGTGAGTGCTTTTGTCGTAGCAGCAACTGTTTGATTTAGTGGCCCCTGCTACAATGGGCTGGGAGAACAAAGCCAGAATATCCCGTGTATGAGTTTGTGAAATGTAAGACCCATCAGGAAAATTGAGGGGGGGGGGGGAGAGGGCAGCATCCTCAGCCCTCTCTGAAATAAAACACATGCAAGGTATTTGAAAAAATTTCCTCTCAAATACTTTGTTTCCTAATCTTCATTTGTCTTGTGTAGCTTTTGAAACTGGAGGGATGAGCAAGATGAGAGGTGACAGAGCCAGGAAGGAAGAGGGGCTTATTCATTTAAAAATGATTATCCTGAGTATGTGTTTTGATATTCTAATGAAATTTCAGGGTTAAGGGAGTTCAGAGCACCGCCAAAGCAAAACTGCTTCAGATTTGCCCGTGCTTTACCATTTCTGTGAAGTTTGCTGTGGTTCTGCCCCGGCTCTCCCACCCTTTGCCTCCACCAGGCACTGCATTAAGTAGGGTGAAAACCAGCAAAGGTCAGGGGCGGCAAACCCGTGGGCACAGGGGAACAATGTGGGCCTGGCCATGGTCCCTGCAGAATTTTTTAAACATCTAAACCCCTAAGACTTGGTGTAGGCCATCATTTTTCATCTCCCAGTTCTGTTTGAGCGTCAGTGTGCGGGTTGTGGGGACACCTCCGCGGTCCCTGGGGTCTGTGCCTTTGTTCATGGTGAG